AAATAACCGTTAGTGTCTAACGGATCTATTGTCGGTCAACCGACAGATCGTTCGGTCGACCGAAAGAAGAGTTCGGTCGACCGACGAAAAAATCCGGTCGACCACGAGCAGGTCTGAAAAACAAAAAACAAGCAGAGACTTCGTCGGTCGACCGGTGCGGTCGACCGATGGAGCTTTCGGTTTCGACCGGACCGGTCGATCGGACAGGACTCTCTGTCGCATGTGTAAGAAATGACAAAATGAATCGGTCGTACACAGTCGCGGGTCGACGAAATCTGACACTAATGAAAATCTTGATTTCATTGATTTTTAAAACCCTGTTTAAAAATATCAAATTAAATTCCAAAATATATTTAAAACTTTGGGGAATGATTGTAGACATGATAATAAACATTGCTACAATGACTGGTTTCGAAAAAGGACTTCCCAAATAAAAATTATCATTATTTTGCAAAATAGTCCAAAACACGAAAATTGTAAAATGTGATTTGATAATTATTATTGGTTAAGAACCATGTTTTGAAGCTTTGCACAATGATTGTATAGACTTAATAAAAATGTATATGACTCTATGTTAACGTCCAAAAACTAAAATACAATATTTTCAACAAGTATGCATAGTTCTATGCAATATTTTCAAAACCACTAAATATTGTTTCATTTAATATAAGCGTGTTAAAGGTGAAATCATATATATACATATAAGTATGAAACAAATAGTAATTTTCCAATTCTATGCATTTGTCTTCATATATAAACTCGAAACTATAAAACCAAAACTTGTGTATATATATATAACTATTTATATATATACGAAGAAACCAATAAATGTGTTTGTATAGATATTGAGCTTAACGTACTTAACACACATAATATAAAACCTAAACTAAGTTACCCAAGCTTAATCTTGATCTTCATTGAGCTCAACTTGGTACACGTTGCGGATGAAGCTAAACTTGGATCTTGAACTTGAATTGTACGATGCTTCAACCACTATTCCACCAACCTCCATTGGATATGTTCGTTTAAGCGCAATTCCATCCATCCTCCAACGGCGTTGTTTGTCTACAATAAATACAAAAACACAAATACTAGACAAACAATATTAGTAGTAAATTATTTGTAAATCATCATCAAAATAAGAAGGCCAACAGTTTTAGTTTCAAATGTGGAATTAGTCATATTATTTTACTCCATGCATGACTCTTTCCTGCTTATTCTGCATATGAGACCAAGTTTTTTGTGGAAAGATCGGATCATATACCTTCTTGTGCCCAAATGCAAAACATGGTGCTCCCAATACAGGATTTTTGGTAAGATCGTTAGTGCACCAAGTAGACTTACTTCATTCTTTAATAAATTTATGGGGTTAAACTTGTAATTAGGTTTGTATGCCCGAAAATTCCATTAGGTCAATTACCATCAATTATTTCCCCCCAAAACCCCAGATCAATTATTATTTTCTGTAAAAAATCCAAATTAGTGCGTGTTAGTTCTAATCTGCACAGTGTTGGTTCTATTCCGTAGAGTGTTAGTTCTAATCTGCACAGTGTTAGTTCTGTTCTGTAGAGTGTTAGTTCTAATCTGCACAGTGTTAGTTCTATTCTGTAGAGTGTTAGTTCTAATCTGCACAGTGTTAGTTCTATTCTGTAGAGTGTTAGTTCTAATCTGCACAGTGTTAGTTCTATTCTGTAGAGTGTTAGTTCTAATCTGCACAGTGTTAGTTCTATTCTATACCATGTTAGTTCTAATTTATACCACGTTAGTTCTATTTTATACCGTGTTAGTTCTAATTAATAACAAGTTAGTTCTATTTTATACCACGTTAGTTCTAATTTTAACCATATTAGTTCTAATTTATAACAAGTTAGTTCTAATTTATAACAAATTAGTTCTAATTTATACCACGTTAGTTCTAATTTATACCAAGTTAGTTCTAATTTATACAATGTTAGTTCTATTTTATACCAAGTTAGCTCTATTTTATACTCCATGACAAAATCCAAGCAAAGATAAGAATACCAACATCAAATTTAGACTGCCTGATACTTTTGTACAAACCAATTTAGACTGCATGATACTTAGTCTTATGTGTACAAACCAATTTAGACTGCCTGATACTTTTGTAGGTATATAATGAAAATACTGAAGGGAGTTTTTGTAACATTTCAAGGACCAATCAAAATTTCTCAATTTATCATAGAACACATGACGTCAAGCGGCATTAAGTCAAATTTTGATACACGAAACTTTTTGCAAGTCTGCATCTATAAGAAATCCAAATTATTTTGCCGGCGTAGTAAAGGGCGAGACGGGGAGCGACGGCGACCAAATTATTTTGCCGGCGTAGTAAAGGGCGAGACGGGGAGCGACGGCGAGCTACCGCGACGAGGTCGGGAGGAGGAGAGGAGGGGAGGCCGCGGCGGCGAACTCGGCGGAGGCTTGGGAGCCTGGGCGGAGGTGGCGACGGCGAGGAGGGCGAGGGCCAGAGCGACGAGCTTTAGAAAGGTTATTTTGGGGATTTTAGCTTAGTTGGCATGTAATAATTGTTAAAAAGGGGGTGCAGCACAAAATGTCATACTTCAAGGGGCTGAATCACATGGGGGAAACTAGGAGGGGCTGCAGCATATGAAGTTTCTGTTTTTGGGGCCTGGACACATTTTTCCCAAGAAAGAAACTTGAAATGTTCAAAGTTGATTATCAATCACTTTTGCTTTGAGACTAGAAAGATTACTTGCTCAAAGTTGGTCCATTTATGATTTGTTCAGACAAGAAAGACACCTACCCTATTTATTTCAAAGAAGTCGTTAGTGGAAAACTCATGCACGACGAGTTTAGAGCCTTTACTAGATAAAGAAATCTATACCTTTTAGTGGAAATTTCAAATTTTCCCAAGTGCAAGGGAAATACTATTTGACAATAACAATGGTACAAACTGCAAAGTATCTCAACTTTTTGTCAATTTAGCTGCTGACTAATATTAATTTCCGCCGTGACTTATTTAATGTATCTTTCTAAGCGTAGGTATTAAATGTGTTTTTCCTCATTAGAAAAAAAAAATCTTATAGGGGACGCAGATCATTTATGGAGAAAGGAAAACACCATATATGTTCTATCATCTATTTTACATCGATGCAATGGGATCAACTAAATAGCCTTGACAAGGATTTTTTTTTTCTTTTTTTTTTTTTCTTTTTTTTTTTTGCCCCCTCTCAATTCCTTAAGAAAGTTACATCATCACTTCATCATCATCCGTCGGCAAGCCGGAGCTTTCAACCTCAAGGAAAATGAGTGCAGTAAAGTTATCTTTAAATGAGTCCAATTAATTAATATAGTAATATTCCTCCATTATATCCTTGACGGCTACGTTTAATGATGGCGATCTTGTCTTGTCATGCTGACTAACCCAGCCTAATTAAGCTCATCATGGGTTCTACTAAACGCACGCAGCAGCTAAAACCCTCTTGGAGGTTGAAACTTTAGACCGGAGAAAAATATCTCAGCGTCCTTAATGATGCTGTATGTATATATATTTTTTTTCTAAGATGAGTGCAATTAAGTCTACGTGTCTCTCCTTCAACATAACTCCTTTTGGGTATTCAAATGATATTTAGGTACGTAGGAGGATCGTCCGAAATTTTCAAAGATGGATTTTGACGTGTACTGGTTTTATCTCCACTTGAAGAAAAATGTGCGGGGTCACAGTTAATCTGTTTTCATAGATCCAGTAGACCCATGCTTTTACGTAGTGGGCTGAGTTATACAAGCACTAGAACAATGAAAATCGTGTCATTATATATTTTACCTGGTTATCCAGTGAAAGTCAAGTCTGTCGGCTAAGAATTTGATCAAATGGGTGAATGACTTCTAAAACAATTTTTACTTTTACCAGGGATCGTGGTGGAAGTAATTCTTAGGATATGTTATTAGTCATAAATTGTTAAAAATAATAATAATAATAATAAACATCATATAATCCTAATTTATGGTTGTTAGATTACCAATACATTGTCTAATTATGAAAGTAACTGGTGTTTGGCTTTTTCGCATAATCCTGAGGAGCAGTTAAAGCGCCCTCGAACGTCGTCTCAAGTTCGTATAAAAATTCCAAAAGTAAGTGAAAACACCAGTTTTTTAGAACTGCCTCGTGGCTCGCTAAACTAGTAGAGCAGTGTTGCATTCTACATCAAACATGAAAGTCTATGAAAGAATCATAATATCCTCTCGCAGCTGAAGGCGGCTGAAATTTGCAGGATCCTAGCGCAGGAAAAATGTCAATGGCTGCGGTTTACCACCTCCGTTAGTTCTTTCTATGATACTGACCGACGCCAAAATGATCAGAAGACGCTCAGTTTGAATAATTCGTGTAATCATTTACGGCGATAAATAAACAAACACACAAATAAAAAAGCTAGGAGAACAGAGCTCTGTTCACCGTAGGAGCGTCACACCGGTTGCTTAAAGGGGAGGGGGAAAAAATGGACATAATCTGGTTAGAAGATTTAAGCACGTACGGTTCGGTTCCAAATTTAGATTTATTCAGACATGAAATACCTAACAGTAGATACATTGAGACTTGCTTGATAGATGAACTGGAATCTAACGCCTAAGTTCACAGTATCCTAACTAGCAGAAAGTCAATAAGCTAGAAAATACTCGATTAAATCTAGGAATTCTGGCTCCTCTACCCCCCGGAATTCATTTGTCAGAATCTTCTCTTTCCCAAAAAAAAAAAAAAAAGATACTAGAGGGGTAGTAAGTTCAAACAGCGATACTACAGGGAGTATCCGCAGTTAATCCTCAAAGCTAAGAAGCCCTGCTCCCGATATAACATATGCACAAAAGATGCCGAGAGAAAATCAACTAAAATTAAGAGCCCTATCACGACAAAAAGACGGGTGCAAGGAAGAGCCATATCGCCGCTCCAACAAAGCGAGAACAAGTTTAGAATGCCAAATGACATGCGCTATAAGGTGCACAGGAAATAGTTCAGTCACAAAGAAATCATAAGTATCCCTCTTGTCTGGAAGGTTTATTAATTAATCTTATGATAATGGAACCATCCCTGATTGACTCCCATCTTTTTTAAAAGTTGTTACACAATCACTGAGCAGAAAAACAAGGATAATACACGAATCCGAATGCACACGAAAATTTAAGAATTATTACAGAATCTGAGGAATACTCTTAGCGTCAAATTATTGAAAATAATGCAGTTGCATCCTGCTGTCACATTCATAGCGACAAAACTTCAATTTCATTTAAAATCCACTAGCGCAGAGGCGTTTAAGAGAGGCATGAGTATGCTAGGGCCTTCTCTTCGGTTAGCTCCTCAGCAGTTGCATCCATCTTCTTCCTTGAAAATTCGTCGATAGGAAGCCCTGGGAACATCAGGGAAAAGCAATATGTTAAGATCGGTGTTTTCTGATTTTCTACTTGTAGAGACAAACAAAATTTCTTCTAACTATGTAACATATAAACAAGGCCAACACATGTTAACTGAAGACGAAATAGAAACCAACATTTGCAGGCAGGCCTCCATGCTTAAAAAGTTAGGGACTGGCTTGTAAAACCTCCTCATCCTCGAAATTATAGAGTGAAGTCAAGTCTTCGGTGCAATGGCAGTCTACTTATTTAAAGAAGAGACATCTATACCAAAGGATTCTGAGATGGCAAGCAATGAAAGGCGAAGAACACCAGTCTGTATGATGGCAGAGTTTATAGTTTTAGACCATGTGAGGATCAGGGAAGATGCAGTGTGTACTGCCTGTTTGCTACATAGACTTGGCTAATATAGCCAATTAACAGCAAGCAGGCTCAGGATTATATTGTATTATTTTACAATAGAGAATTATCCAAAACAAGGCAGTAAAGCATGTTCAACATCTACTGGGGAGAGATTTGCAACCAGCACTAGATGCAGTGGGAAGTACCACCGCTTGCTAAAGAAATATCAACAACATTCAGCACTCTGAGGTTTACAAAGAAAAGCTAACGAAGCCAAGGATGCAAAATAGTAATTTCACAATAAAAATAAGGAAATAGTTTGTTACTGAAAAATTTTTAAGAAGCTTAAAAGGTGATCTGTCCTACTTAAAGTCCAATGCTTGAACTTGAATGTTCTGTGTGAAAACTTATCCATGTTCAGGACATAACATTGAGATGCATGGGGAATTATATGCGTACTTTGTGGTATCCTACGTCACATGGATACTTCTATTCGGAAACCGTACCCATTCCCAACAGGTATGCGTACCCCTATTCAAATTTCTCGGACACTTCTTGAATATATGCATACATTTGTTCAAGCGTATACTCAATTATATACTACATGTTTTAAAGTAAAACATTCCTCATATGCTTCTTTGATGTATATTCTACACATCTATTTCTAACATATTGATCTCATGTAAATGGAAAAACAATATTGATCTTATGTAAATTAGTAATTCTAATACATATAAATATACATAACGTATATTTATAGTCGTATTCCCATACCCTGCATTTTAGAAATTTGTTGTATCTCTTACCCGTATCTGCACCAGTACTTGTACTCATCCCCATGCAACTTAGGTGGTACCCAATGTTTAAAAAAACTACCTAGTCCGCCAGCCAGACACCTACGCCTAGGCGATATCTAGGTTGCCTGCTTAGAGCTTGGTAGTACGTAAACTGCTTACCTAGATTTTGGAAGCGTTTAGGGGAGTATAGCCTGCTTTCATGGATTGAACAGACTGAATCCTTAAGGTCTTGATCGTAATTTCCTCCATTATAGCCTCCACGCCCTCCAAACTCCTCTAGCCTCTAACTATGAACACCTCCACCTCCTCCGACCTTCAGCAAGACCTTTTTCACCAGCACTTAAATGAAAAAAGAAGTCTGCATAGGCACCAGTTCGGCACCTCATCATTATATAACATTGGTACTTACCAATGTTCTAAAAAGTGATCTAGCATAGGCGGCCCTCCAGCAGCCTAGAATTAATTTGCGCAACCAATCTAGGTGGTGGAACCGCTTAGCCGGACCGCCCCTGCTTAGACAGATCGCCTAGCTCTTGTTAAGGGGAAAAAATAATGTTCTCAGCCCAATCTAGTCCAATTTGGATTCTCACCTAAACAACAAGCCAAAAAATTAAAATTTAAAACCCGACATGCACACATAACCCAACCCAAAACCCACTAACTTAACCCCAAAACCCTCTCTCTATCACTCGATCAATCCCATCTTTCTGCCTCTCCGTTCTCTTAATAAAAAAAGCGACAACAACGACTAGCTCTCCGCTAGCGCCTACTCTCACCCGAAACATGACCTACGCCTTTGCTCTCCTCACCACAATTCACCTCCGCTCCTCTGAAACCCTCTCCTCTCCTCTTCCAAAGCTCCTCTCCTTTCCTCCCTTTGAAGATAATTTTTATTATGTTGTTTTTTTTTTACACTTTTTTTTATTTTTTTCATTGTTTTTTGTAATTCTATTCATTGTTTTTCTTACTTCTTAGTATAATTAGTTAATTTTGTTCAATTTTAGTTTAATTATTGTTTTAATTCACCGTTAAGTAGTTGATTAATTAGTTTAGGTGGCTATTTAAGGTTTTCTAGTTAAGGTACCACTATTAAAATTTAGGGCTTATTAGTTTAGTTATTAAATATTGTTTTAATGCTACAATTCAATTTTAATTCATGTTTTTGTCAATTATTATAATTAACTAATTTTAAACATAGACAAACGCCTAGGCGCTAGCTCAAACACTTAGTCCACCTAGTGCTTTTTGTAACATTGACATTTACTATCAATTATTATAATTATAAAGTAAAAAATAGGAAAACCACCTAGGTCCTACCTACTCGCTAGGCATCGGGTCCAATGTCCGGGGGGCCTAGTGCTTTCTACAATCTTGGCGGTATCTAATGCATCTTCCTAAATTTTCAAATCTTGTTTAAATTTTGTGATGCAGAACAAGTGGCAGCTACGTTTATGGAAAAAATGAACCATCAAAAACCCAAATGTGCGCCTAACAAAGGATATTGACTTGCAACAAAGAACGGATTGTATCTCCCAAACCATACATAGAATGGAAGACTAATATATGAAAATCACGTATTTTTTTGAGGAGAACCAAATCTACTGCTTTCGGTTTGTTGCCATCCTTTTTGCGAAATTCCCTTCGATTTGAGATATATCGAGCTTTTCGTTAGTTTTCTTTACTTGGGTAATGATTTAGGAGTCTTTTTTTATTAGAAAATGAATTCGGTTCGTTTCCAAATTCGCCGATTTGATTTCCTCAATCAAAGGAAGTCTCTTAAGAGTAGTTTTATTTTATACTATTTTTCATAAATTTCAGGTCTTAGTGGCAGTCTACTTTGCTTTCTATATAAACTGAGGATTGTAAGCTCTAAAGGCATCACTTCATGGATTCGAAGTTCTTCGTGGATTCGGAGATCGTTCTTTGTAGATTCATATAACACCCCTTAGTGGATTCTGAGGTTATCCTTTCCCAGCTGCATTATTTTGCAAACTATTATAAGGTGGATCTTATATTTAAGCTTGACCATGAATAATCCATATAGTTGAGCTCATCAAGAAATCCATCTAATAGTCAAATGCCTTAACCAACACACATGAATTCGCATTTCATCAGGTTTTCTACCCACTTATAATCTTACCCTTGTTTAATAATAAACGCAATTTAGAATATTAATTGTTTCCATCTCCTAGTTTCAAGTCATTTGCCCTGATATTACAATTAGTTTCATCGTCTTTTTGTACCCTTTTTCGTGAAACACAAAACTGAAACATGCTACAGAATCTTGTCCAATAGTTAAGTGAAAGTAACAATTTAGGGGGGAAAACCAATAACCAGCTTTTTTTCTTTTTGGTCAATTCAGTTATGCCTCACAGTTAAAAAAAATTGAAAAAAGAAAAATCATGGTAATGAATAATCGTACAAGTCGCTTAAAGCAATTTGAAGCAATGTACAAACCTTGGACAATAGTCCACTCGCCATTGCGGCATGTCACCGGGAATGAGTAGATCAGCCCAGCTGGGACATTGTAAGACCCATCAGAGTAGACACCCATGGAAACATAAGTTCCCTGAAACAGAAACACTAAAATTAAGTTTTCTGGCAATAATGCTGAAACCCTAATAAAACTAACAGTAAAGATGATAACCTCTGGGGTTCCAAGGACCCAATCACGGATGTGATCACAAGCAGAGCTGGCTGCAGATAATGCACTTGACAGTTTGCGAGCTTTGATGATTGCAGCACCACGTTGTTGAACAGTTGTGATAAATTCTCCCCTCAGCCTTTTAACAATGAGAATAGATTATGTGAGCGAGATAACAATGAATATGCTACAAACAATACTTCCAATCATAGCAAAATCAGCTATACTTTTTGGGTATACATTCGTACCAATCATCATTTGAAACAAGTTCACGTACAGACTTTTCCCCACTTGGTGTTTTCACAGTTGCATGACTTACATCAGGGTACTGTGTTGATGAGTGGTTCCCCCAAATGATGACATTTTTAACATCACTAACTTGAACATTTAGACGTTCAGAAACCTGCCCCAGTGCCCTATTGTGATCGAGCCTTGTCAAGCAAGTAATGTTTTTCTCGGGAATGGATGGAGCAAATTCTTTCAAAATGAGGGCGTTGGTATTTGCTGGGTTAGCAACAACTAGCACCTGCAGCAAACCAAAAGATAATTATTTGAAAAATTATTAAATCAATGCATATCAACATCAAATCAAAATCAAAAGATCTAGACATGGAGGAAGTTATAGTCTTAGCAGGCTGCATCATTAACTCCTTGCCTAGAACATGTTATGAGGGCAATAAATAAGGGACAAACATTTAACTGATAGATATAGATACATATTACATGTTTCGCACCTTGCAGTTTGGAGCTGCATGCTTTTCAAGTGCAGAAGCCTGAGATTTGTAGATAGAGACATTCTTCGACATTACGTCTTTCCTCTCCATTCCTTCTTTCCTTGGGAATCCACCAACCATGACTGCTACATTGACTCCAGTACAAGCCTCAACGACATCGGTTGTGGCAACAACTCCTGAAACACCAATTCAGACAAATGATATATTTGCTGGCATAAAAAATACAGCACGGGGCGGCTAATTACTGACGGGCAGCAAAGAAAACAACAGAAAGGAATACCTTTAAGGAGAGGAAATGCTGCATCAATCAGCTCCATCTTAACCCCATTCAAAGATTCTGCAGCAGGTGGAATGTCAAGCATGTGTAAAATAACAGGCTGGTCTGGTCCAAGCATTATTCCACGAGCAATCATAGGCACAAGCGCATATCCAATTTGCCCTGCAATTGAACAACTTGAATTTCAGATACCAAGCTAATTAAGATGTACAGGAAGTGACATGGTAGAAAAATACTGCAGTCCTCAATGCAGAGAATTATTCAAGCATGAACTCCATTCCACGATATTCAAGCAGATATGGCTTGTATAAGAAGACTGTCCCTCCTTGCATCATGATTCATCTTCTCATGGAATGGAATTTCTATCATTTTTAGTACTCAAAGGAGATGGTTTGATTTCAAGAGTCAAGACATCTGACGGAGAATGAGTTACCCAATCATTTTCCCTTGAACTGCATTGGCCTATGTAGCAGTGACTACTGACTACATATCAACATGCTTCACAAGACATTGACCAAGAATTTACAATTCGTCTTCAAAACATCAACCTCTACATGCTGGTTTCAAGTACATGAACAACTATAGTCAGCAGGGTAACTTTGCATATTAACCTTTAAAAACCAAGGCAGCTGGTATATGAACCTCCCATTTATATTCATGTAGTTATAATCATGTAAAACGAGTCAATACTCTACAAATTCTCAAGGCCAGGATTAGTAGTGGTACTCGTAATTTTCTACTTGGTTTCCCTTTGACCAGCATTGAAAGCTCAAAGGTGGATAAGTGTGGAGTTACTTTGGCCCCAATTCAGTAGTTAGAAAGTGAGTGAAACAAGAAATTCTTGAAGTGAAGAATGTTTACTTTAGGAAGTAAACAAGGATGCTAGAAATGTATTTACCTGAATCCAACTTAGGGATCCTAATGAGTTTTTCATCTAACATACAGCAAGCTAAATGATACCACTTTTATACGCAAACAATTTGGATGCTATTTTCCTTGCTTTGCATCACAAATTCACACCTTACAGATATTGATCTTAATAATTAATTCATCTATTGCAACGAGGAGATGAATCCATAATGGACTTTTATTTGTTACACTGTTGTACCCTGAATACTGGAAACCATCGTGATAAATCAATGATCCTAAGAAACAAAAACCTACAGATCCCTCCAAAAACCATAACAAGTTTCAGATGGTACAGATATAAGCCACTTAGAAACTTAAATCTATTTAAAAAGAGGCCCTAAACTTGGTAAAGTTTCAAACTTCCACATTTCTACAGTATATACCAAGGTTTTAAATGACATCCATGTCGGATGTCAGGTCATGTCGGATAGCTAACATTCATGTTGGATAGCAGAAATCGGGGTTATATCGGGGGACATATACTAAATATCGGATTGCCATATCGGATGGATTTCTACTAAATTTTGGTTACCAAGATGGAATGCACTAGTCATGTTATAACTTATCCTACTTGAGTTGAGTATTCATTATCAAGACACGAGTTGTTTTTCATTTCTTGAAGAGAAATATTAGAATATTATAACAACAAATAAATAAAATACACATTGTCAAACTAGAACTTTCGAAGTGCCTTTCATAAAATTAACATAAAGTAAAGTGCCTTGCATAAATTGATATAAAGTGTTAGACTTTGAATTGATTTCAACCTACGGTTCAATCTTATTGTTTACATCACGTTTTTATGAATTCTCAATTTCAATTTGTAGAGACAAAGACGAATGAGAGGAGATCACGGCGGTAAAGAGAGCAATATTTTTTTTTCTTTGCCTTAATCTGTATTATATTATTATATGCTATCGAGTTACTATGGGAACAAAAGGCTGAAAAAAGAATTAATCAGGTTTAGCTTTTGAGTACTAATCCTAAACACTAATACTTATCAACTCAAAAAAATAAAAATAAAAAATCGACCAATTTTCAATTTTTCAAGGCTGAAAATCAACCAATATGTCCGCAATATCTCGCGATATGTTTGACATGGACCTCGAAAATGATATCCGACTTGAAATGGCCATATGCATGTCGCTCTAGCCCTGATCCGACATGTCGGCCAACATTTAAAACCATGGTATATACTACATAGTTATTTGCAAAATTGAAAGTTATCCTTATATTTTCTTGTAGTTGTCATTTTCTTCAGCTTTGCATGCTAGTTAACTTGGCTTGCAAGGTCTCCAGAGTCCACACTTTACCTTAACTAGCAAACTTGCCTTGCATACCCCCCAATAAATCATTTCCATTTTAGCTTGGCAACGAAGGTCTCCCACTTTTCATTTACTCGCAAACTTGTCGTGCATGCCCTCCAATCCAAGAAATCATTTCCAGTTTAGCTTGACATGCAAGTTACCTTGACATGCAAGTTAGCTTGACGTGCAAGTTATCTTGACGTGCAAGTTAACTTGACCTGCAAGTTTATGAATAAGGGGCATAGCTTCTAAGCTACCACATTATTTCCTCACTTAGCCCATTTTCAAGAGAAATTTGGCTAGACCATGAGATAGAGAAAAGTCCTTTATTTGTGCAGTGGTAAATAAATAGGTCCAAAACTCGATCAGATATTGCAAGCGTTTTAGCTCATCTATGTTTACAGTTGCCTGTGGGAGCATATTAGAGATGGTTTGGACTTAGGATCCTTACATCGGAATAAGTCAATTAACTCTTAAAGTTAGGCTGCTTAGCATTCAAGGACGCACATCAGTCTACTAATATAATAACCAGTAAAGTTCCAAATTTTCTAAATTAAAATTTTCCTGTAATCACCAATTGCTCCAATAGTCTTAAAGGATCATTCTAGCAACAAAATAGACACTGCAAAGGCCGTAAGGATTGATCGTTTTCGACAGAGCTGACTACAACGAATTGAATGGTGATCACGGTCCCAATCTTCATTGTCCTCCTAAAATTATGGCTTCTCATCCATGTCGGTGCAATAGATCTTTAATAATGCATTCGAAGATGATTTTACGCCTCTATACGTCGTAGTCAACTCCATCAAACTCTGAAGCTTCAAATAGCCAAACTTCATATTTTATGCGGTTTTTTTTTGCTAGGAAAACACTTTAACACAGTAATAATCATTTATGAAAATGGGCAACTTTAAACTTAGACATTTTTCTAATTGTTATATCGAAGAGCAACTATACACCCTCTAACTCTAAAGCATTATTAAGTCAACTCCAGTGCAAAGATCCCAAGCTAAAACCGCCTCTAGAAGAAAACAAGCTTAATTAGTTGGTGTGCATGTACAAACAACTACAAACATAGGCGGGTCATCATGCACCCCAAAAATACAATTGAGGTTTGGACATATTGATTTAGCAAGGCAAAAAGAAATTGTTTCATGATATCACCTTGTCTAGCAAAATTTCCCTTGGAAGTTAGACAAGTGAGGAAATAAAGTGAAAGACCATGAAACCTCCTAGAAGCTATGCCCCTCACTTCATAGTCTCTCCATAAACTTGAAAGTCAAGTTAACTTGCGTGCCGAGATAGAATGGAAGGAATCAATTGGAGGGCATGACACGAAGCTTGTAAAAGGATAGCGACCTTGTGAGTCAAATTAACTTGCATATATGCCAAGCTAAAAAGGATAGCCATAAGCAAAGATAGATTGTGGTATCTATCTTTCAAGTTTGCATACATACTATAAAACACATATAATTTTAAAACTTCACCAAGATTAGGAATCCTTTTTTAATAGAAATAACAGAAACAGCCTATTTACCCACCCCCATTTCGATGATACAAAAGTAAAATAAAATAATTGAACTCAAAAGACAAGTTGGCAAATCAATCTTAATTTTTCACGTTGTTTTAAGCTCGCACAACAAAAAGCAACCTCCAAATCTCCCAGACTAAGAAAAGAATCTAGGAGATATTAACTCTTAAGACAAATAAAGCCAATGAGTAAGAAAAAACATCAAATTTCTTTTTCCTCCTTAATAGCAAATTAACTGCAGAACATATGAGAAATACAAATATGTAAAACACTGGAGTCTTTCCTCTTCCCTAAAGAAGTTTGGTTCTTCAAGAAGCAACTAAGAGAAATATGCTCAAACTCAAACACAAAAAACACAACATGTCAAAACCAACATAGTGGTACTAAATAGCCCAATTAAAAGCACTGAAATAAAACCCCCAGTCATATATGGAGAAATCCATATAAAAAATAAGGAAAAAGAAAAAGAAACACCCTACCACATTTGTATGTGAAACTATACTTGCAATTATCAAAAGATAAAACCATTTCAAAAGAAAAAAAGATCCCATTTAGGAGTACATATACAGAAGTTTTATCATCACACTATAGATACTCTTATCTTATTATCAAAAACTGAAAACACGCAATTATTTCTGAAGTTTATTTAAGTGCAACGCCAAAAAACAAAATAATATAGTTCTGAAACCAAGTAGATCTCATTGAGATGACCTCACGCTATTGTGATATTTTTATTCTCTAAGCTTGGCTTTTTAAAAGTAGACAACATTAATTAGATCCTCGTCAACTATGATATCATAGTTGAACTTCATTAAACTAACAAATCTACAATGTAAAATATTAAGTAAATGTCTCAGATCACACCGATTCTGATCTGACTTTTTCATCAAAAATTCTAGGAACATCTTAAAGGTTTACTTTTGAACCCAAACACAAGCAAGTAATGATGTCTAAGTATCTCATAAGCAAGACTGCTTTGGTTTTGCAACTGCCCCAACTTTTGGGGGAAAATAGTTCATTTAGATCCAAATAACTAGCATATCACCTAGCAGGATTTTTTTTCTGTAGGCAAATTAATTTTCAACAAAAATACGAAAGGCTGACTCTGATTCAGCTATTTAACTGAGATTTCTGGTAGAACAAATATAAAAGATATTGATCACGATTCAATCTTAATATCTCGTTTACCAATCTAAAACCAGTAGTTTTCCGAATCTTCCACTGAAATTAGTTGATCAACACACTTCACTAACTACTTCGAGTAATTTCGCAACACAAAAAGTTCCGATCTCGCATCAGATCAAGATCCACCAGCTGCTACAGAGCTTCTTACTTTAATCAATGAAAAATAAAATTATTCAACAAATAAATCTCAGTATTAACCGATTGCATCAAAAAGCTCTCTTTTAATATAAGATCACCACGTAAACCCTAATTTCCAACAGATCTTGAATCAGATCCGCTCCCTACAAAAAAAAACAAGATTCAACAAGCATCTAGACGAAGGATCGATTGATCTAACGAACCTGCAGCTCCCGTGACGAGAACGCGAACTGGATCCTTGGCCATGCCGGAGATTCTGAGAAGCAGCACGAATTTTGAGGGGAGAGAGTTTTCAGTGAACAGCTGTAGAAATGGGAGGGGTGATATTTATTTATTTATAGGATAAGGCCAAAGGAAACGAACGGACAAAAGCTTGAAGTGGATTGGACCAAAATTAGACTCGTGGCCCAAATTTGGATCAGTTAATATTGACCAGATTTGGACGCACAAGGAGTCCATTTGTGTAATTCAATTTTGACTATTAAGGTTTCTTTTAGATACCATAGTGTTTTTCTTATTATATTTTTATAAAAAAACATTATGGTGTTGTGTTTCTCCCTTAAAATATTTTTAAAATATCATATTAAGTATTTTTGGTCAACACTAGTTTGACCCATTATAATATTAGTATTAAACATATTATTAATACATTATTGTTGTAAATATAAATACAATGAATGTGGACATTACTAGAAGAAGTCTCTTCACCTACTTGTGACTTTTAGTATTCCCTTCCACGTCTATATAATGTAATCCATGGAAGAAAAATGTATGGAGAAATGAGGATGAATAAAATAAGATGATCACTTTCTCCCCATCTCTTCTCTTCTCTATTTATTTACTCTTACATTTCATGTTCGATTCTTACTTATGATATGTGATGTATGTAAATATAACAACAAGATTACAATACGTTATCAGCACGAAAGCTCTAGCTAGCCGGTTCGTAATCGCCCGTTGGTGGTAAGAGATATTTCGGTGTACACCTGTTACGAGTTAATAAAGTGAGCAACTTTGGGTCCGCTCGGCATTGTGGTGGCCAAGACGATATCCTCTCTGGGTGTTTCCGCATTACGTCTATCATCTTCTGATGTATCATCAAGCTTTCTGGAACTTTAAATCCCTTAGGGGATTTTTTTTTTTTCTTCAGGTAATTCCTTATTAGGATTTTAATATGGAACACTAGATATTATACTATCACAAAGCTGCATGATCACACAAACAATTACAATTTTATATTAGCAATGTGGATCCAAGACTCTTGGAACGGATGCATTACAGTGCAAATTAAATCAATAGCATGACTTATTTTATTTTACCGGCAGAAGTCAAAAAATAATAATAATAATAATTGGTATCACACGGATTACAAGAAAACGGGATGTGGAAATTAACTTGTATTTCACATATGTATTCAGGTTCTGAAATGAGAGGAAACTAAAGAATCTGATATAGAAACTAAACTGCGAGGTGAAAGTAAGAAATCATTACATTGATGAGTTTGGTACACAAAGGTTATTCATGTTATAATGATCAAGCAATGAACCATCTGATTTTTTTAAGAAATCATTACATAGATGATTTTGGTGACCAGGAGTGATCATGTTATTTATCACTATCTATGCATATTTTATTAGTCTATTTTAGACTTGTTCTAGTTGTTTTTGTTAAGACAATTTGGATTTTAACTAAGCTTGTTTTGCATATTTTTCATAAGAAAATTTCAATTTAAGATGGATTTGTTTAAATCATCAATCATGAAAAATTGTCATAACATATCAATTTGATGCTTTTGCTTTAAATATTCTATTTTCTTGCTTAAAGTAAAATCTAAGCCTCCTGAAAACTTAAAATTAAGTTGTCGATTTTAAAGCTCATGTTGGCATCCATAAGTGATCTAATTTTTTTATTGCTAATTGTAATGATTCTTCTTCTCCACTGAATTATGCAATATTAGTTTATGTCCAAAATTGCATTGGTGATGTTTTTAATCTGGCAACCTTGAGTTTAGAAGAAAGGATAGCACAAACTGTTTATGCCTTTGTTTAATTTCTACTTGCTTGAGTTTGTGATGGTCATTGATCGTCCGAGTATTAAAAATTTTATGTGAATTTTAATATAGTTTGCTAGAAGCAAACATTTGAAAGATAACATTTATGAAGATCTTTAGAAAAAGGAGCTTGATAATTTTGGTGATTATGTGAATATTTCTAATTTCTCATGCACTAATCTTTCGTCCCCATGATTAGTACACTGTGATATATGATAATTTCTCATGCACTAATCTTTCGTCCCCATGATTAGTACACTGTGATATATGATAGTAATTATTACTTGGCCTTGAACGTTAATTTTTACTGTCACCCTTGTGATTTTTGCACGATTATATCTCTTGATTCTTTAAGTATCTTTGTCTAGAAGACAAACACTTTAAATTTTCTCTCTATCAATTAAGACGTGAAAAATCAATACCTCACTGAAAAAGTATTCACTTTTCTGGACAATCCCTGAAGGATCGCTTTGATCTAACCCTTCTTTTCTCTATTCCACGCAAATAATATTGTACTCCAGCAGCAGTACATGACCAAGCATTGCACTTAACATTCTGAATTGATTAGTAGTCGCAGAGAAGCACAATCAATTGATGATTAGAAATCACAATGTCAGACTAGTTGGCTTACGAGTTATGTTTGTAGCACATGCTACAATTCAGAAAATTACTTATACGCGTGGACAAGGGGGAGGCTATGAACATAGTAGGAGATCTTATCCTATAGCCATTTTTGGATTTTAAACCCTCGACTGAATACAATTCAATAAGTAACCTTGTACTCTTACAATAGTACAACTAAAAGCATTATGTACTAATCCTTGAATACAATTCAATAAGTAACCTTGTACTCTTACAATAGTACAACTAAAAGCATTATGTACTAATCCTTGCATTAGAAGTTGTTAAAAACACAACCAGCTGTTGTGAGAAACCATAATGCAAGTTTAATTGGTTCAGTCGTAGTGCCTGAAGCACATGTCATAATTCAAACTAATATTCATAAGCTTGGTCGAGGGGAAGGTAATGGATCTTATCGAACTATTTGGTTTCTCTATATTTGGATTATATACATTTGTCAGACAATTTTAATTTATCTTGATTTTGCTTTAAACTCTTGTGAACCTATGTGGTTTTTATTCATATATGTATATTTTAGAATTTGTTTGACCTAAAATACAACATGTTGCGATGAGTTTGAGATTTAGGGATCCAAATTCTTTTAAATTCTGGCATGAGCGATTGGGTCATCTTGGGCAAAATATGATTTGTCGGATTTCCTTAAATTAACTGGGGCATTCAAACCAAATCCGACCAACTGCATATCATAATTTCCCCCCTTTATCTAATACGTGGTGAAGAAGCGAAACATTTCCCATCTGCGTATTATTTATTTTCAGTCCATGTTTCTATATCACCACCATAGCGTACCTCTATGGGACCTCGATGAAGGTACATATATTATTTATGAAACTCCGTCAATAATTTAGTACCTATGGCCCATGTTAGGGGGATCAATTTACAATTTAGTACGCTGACTACATTTTTATTGAAGATCAATTCTCGACATTAGGGGGAGATTAGTGCCCAAAATACAAAATAATGTCAAGAAATTCCATTGGTAAAAAAGATCTTCAATATTTATATCCACGTACTAGTCAAACTGAACCAGAAGTTCAAATGATAATCTGCTAAGAAAAGAGTGACTAAGCCTCATATTCATGTTGAATATATCATTGATGATTTGGTATGCCAGAAGCATATTGTGCCAGAAGCATATAAAACATGTTAGTGTAAAAGATAAAAGTTCGTGGCAAACTAAATTCTATATAGAAAGACAGTCACTCTCATAACCTCCAGAAGAGGTTCATCCTGAAGATGGAATCTCCAGTAAATTGCACGTGCACTTGATAATCATAATATTGGAGATGCGGAACGGCCAAATCCAATTGTTAAGGGAAATGACAAGGATTTGGTTAACATAAAATAAGAATTAAAGTGGCCACGAATTTGTGAAAAAAGAGAAATATATAATATAAATATAAAAGTTGTCGACAACATAGTTGCCTCTACATTTGCTCTTACTATCTCTGAAAATAATATGGATCCAGAACCTAAGTCGGTAATAGAGTGCTTGAAGCACTCGGACTAGGTGAGATGGAAAGTGGCAATTGAGGCTGAGCTGAACTCGCTAAAGTATTTTGAACCTGTAGTCCATATATCCCTGCAGGATATAAATGGGTCTTCGTAAGAAAAATAAATGACAATTGTAAGGTGGTGAGATGTAAAGTGAGATTCATAGCTTAATGGGTTCACGCAGAGACCCGACATCGATTTAGATATAAATTATTCTCCTATTAGTGATTGTATTACGTTCCGCAAGTTAATACATATGGCAGAAACTATGAATTTATATATGCAGTATATGTACGTCATGACCATATTTTTATGAGTCATTAGACGCTAATATTTTTATATGGAATTCCCTGATGGATTTAAAATTCATGAAATTAAGAGAAAACGAGAATCGCAACATGTATAGCATTAAATTATAAAGGTCGTTATACGACTTGAAACAGTCGGGTAGAATGTGGTATAACTGACTGAGCGAGTTCCTTCTGAAGAGGAGATATGCAAATAATGATGTCTGCCCTTGTGTGTTTATAAATGGCTTTTGTATTATATCAGTCTATATTGATGATATAAATGTTATTGGAATGCACAAGGAGCTTACAGAAGCTAGCTCATGCCTAAAGACGGAGTTTGAAATGAAAGACTTGGGAAAAACCAAGTTTTGTCTCGGCCTGCAGATCGAGCATTTTCCCAGAAGGAATTTTTCTACACCAGTCAACCTATGTGAAAAAGGTTTTGGAAAGATTTTATATAGATAAATCTCATCCACTTAGCACACCAATGGTCATCTGATCCCTCGAAGTGGATAAAGACCCATTTAAACCCAAAGAAGATAATGAAGAAATGTTAGGGCCAGAAGTTCCCTATCTGAGCACCATTAGAGCACTTCTTTATTTCGTAAATTGCACCAGGCCTGATATTGCATTTTGCGGTGAACTTGCTAGCAAGGTATAGTGCTTATCCTACAAGGAGAAAATGGAATGTCGTTAAACATTTCCTTCGCTATCTTCAAGGTACAAAAGATCTTGGACTATTCTATAAAAGAAACCAAGATATGACATTGGTGGGCTATTAGAACGCTGGTTACATATCTGATCCTCATAACACCAGATCCCAGACTGGTTATGTTTTTCTCTGTGGTGGTACTGTC